AGAGGAGCGTCTCTCTCGTGGCTGAAGAGCGGTCGCTGCTTTTTTGTGACATCACAAAGTTAGAAGAGTCCTGACGGCTCATTTTAAGGCTCAGTTTCTGAATACAGGCTGTGTGCATTTCTCTGTGGACTGAGCGCTTTGATACTGTCACTGTATTATAATCAAAATAGATATGGAAATCTCCCTTTATACAATATGGAACCTTTAAATAAGATGATTTTATGGGGAGTGTGTGGTGGTCTTGGTCTGGAGTCCATTAGTATTTCAAGTTTCAATACAAAAACAAAATGTCTATTCTTGATTAAGTGAATAAACTCTATATTTTAGAGGGAAGCACAGAAAAAAAACAACAACAGGTGTTTAAAGTTCAGGAATTTTGTGTCTTTTGTCTCGCTGGCTGAAGACTCCGGCCAACCAGGATGAAGAGCAGGCCGGCCAGCAGGCAGAAGAAGACGGCTACCGGAGCCAGGAGGAATGAGGGACCGTGCTGGATGCTGAGATGGAAGGAGGGGCAGCTGGAGAGGCTCTGATGGAGGGCAAACTGCTCCAGAGTGTCCAAGACCTGGACCCACATCAGATACATCAGCACCACCGCCAGCAGACACAGGCCTGACGGACACAGAGAGGCAAAAAGGTAGCGACCGTTACTGCCAAGATTTAAGATTCAGTCCAAATTGTCACATAATTCTGATGCAAAAATATTTGCACAGCTTGGCTCAGAGTCAGAGGCGTTTGAGAGATTTTCATGTCTTATTTCTGACAGATATCAAACTATTTTTTCTCTTGTATGATGGTGCTCTCTTGCATTAACACACTGTATTTAAAAAAAAAAGAACTGGAAGCGGGTCATGTGCTCCCTAATTTCCGTAGCATGTCATAGGCTATTTCTGTATCAGGCCACCAACCAGAAGGTTAAAAGTAATGAAAACTTTTGCTGTTCTTTTCTTTTTGTTCAATATTTTGTCAATTTCATTCAACACAGCTTTTCCCCACTCTTTAATCCTTGACTGTTTCCTGTTCGTCTTGCTTTGTTATTGTCGTTGTATAGTCCTTACTCTGCAGGACAGCTGGAAACCTGTGTTTTAACTGAGCCGGCGCCACAGCAGGCGATTGTTTTCTTTGCTGGTTTTACTGCGGAATAATAAATTATGATGTACACATGACGACAATCGAAATAAACACAAAAAACTGTTTTTGTTTGTGTTAAACGAGGAAAGGGATCTTCCTCTTGGCTGATGTTAACTTTTCATTCACTTCTTTTGGTGGCTGGATGCCACTTTTCATAGACTGAAAAAGTTTTTTTTTGCAGAATATTTAAATGGAAACGTGTATAAAAACAAAACCATCCATTAACATGCAATTATTGTCACAGGCAGCCCTTAAATTCCCACCTGGGCTTTTTAAATTAATCTGTCTGGGCATATCCTGCAATGTCTCTCACATCAGGAATGTTTTCAGGTGAATGTTGGCTTGAGTAATGTTTTCTCCGCGTGGGTACGAAGCAGCACGTGTGATTTCTGCTGAGACGGGAAGGTATCGATTACGGATGATGGGAGATGGGATTTTCTAAAAGATTACTGTCAACGTCCCAACGACCGTCTACAGAACATCGACTCTCCTGAGTGAAAGGAAAGCTCTCTCTCTCTCATACACACAACTATCAGACATGTGCTGCTGCAAACTGAGGCCCTTTTAAGAGCTGCACCCAGCTGAAGGCGATGATCCTAAACGAGCGAGCGCTGCACACCAGCAATCAAGCACACGAACAGGTGTGTGACTATTTTCATTTATTTAAAGAGAAACTTTTTTTTCCCCCCTTTTATTACTGTTTAAGCTGAATTACATCTAAAAAATAGAAAAATAAATATATTAGCCCCAAAGCCTTTTTTTAAAATTGGATTTTCATTTCATTTAATACATTAATATAATTAAATTGTATTTTTTCCACACAATTAAATAACATATGCAGTCACTTTAGATATGCTCTGCTCTCCTCTTGACAAAAAAAACTTACATATTGTGTTTTAACATCTTAGACCCATTTGAAATGCAGAAAAAACATTGAACAGAACTTGATGTTAAATTCTTCTAAATTAGGATTTTTTTTTTAGGGGGGGGTGTATAAAATAACACACTTGGCCAAAATCTGCTACACAGACCGCTAAGGCGAGCGTTTTGTCGACAATGGTTGGAGTTATTTTCGTGACTTCGACACACAGTGTTTTAGGCCATGGAACATGCAGCCACACTTCACATTACATAAACACACTCAGTCTAGTGTATCTCTAATGATCCGACCACCGGCTGCGTCCACAATGAAGGAGACCCCTCCACTTCTTGAATTACTTTATTTTATTTTACTTTATGGTCTCCTATTTTAATGCCAGGATTTCTGCTTGGTGACTTGTGTGTAACGGTTTTTTTGGAGGTCCAAACTAAACGGACAAACACCAGCCTCCGCGGACATTTGTTAGAAATGTATGCACCCGGGGGGGTTCAACGTGCTCTCAACCCATCAGTCGTACGTCTCTGACCTGCTCTCCAGCCCCGAGAGCGGCATCATTAACCTTAATATTGACATCTAAAAACATTTCGACTCAGGTAGATGATTACGCTTCTGTTAGAAGTCAAATAAAATCAGTAAAGTTTCAGGTGCCATTCATGGGTCTTGTCCACTTAAACAAACAGCACCTGTGTTTGAGCAACTGAAACCAATTAGGCTCAATGACAAACCAACGAGTGGAGCCAACAGCAAAGCACATGTATCCTTACCACCACAAAGCTGAAGGACTCCACCCACTTTATAGAGCCTGTGATTGGTCAGTGGGCCAGCACAGATGGCGAAAAATCCGCCAACGACGACAGCCGCCACACCTGCGACCAGAAAGATGCTCCAGAAGGTCCTAAAAACTGATGAGGAGGAAAATGAGACCTCATACTGTACTGTCATGTAAAACATAAACAAATAATACCAACCAATGGCAGAGTGATGTTCATAGGGTTCTGGAGGTAAACTGTGTGGCTCCTCCCGCGATCTCACTGGCCCATGAGCAGGAAACGGGAAGAGGAAAGCGGCCTGGCAGACCCTCGACGACGGCTGATTTACTGAGAGTTAAAATAGAAAAATGTTCATCAGAAATCTTTGTGCTGCTTTCATAATTTCATCGTATAAGTTTGAAACAACCACATAGGTGAAGGTTCTCACGGATCCAAAGGTCCCATGTGGAGAAATCATGGGAAGTGACCATGAAGGAGCACCGCCAGAACAGACCCTCATGAAAGATCCTCACATTGTTTACAGCCTGGTAAATAAAAAAAAAAATTAAAAATAAGTCATCATAATGTTGAGGGAAAGAAAGAAAAATCCAGACTCAACATTTGTCCGCAAACATGCTGCAGAGCTACAACAGCAGTCTGCAGACTTGCCTGTAAACAGGCAGTGTGTGATTGACGGTGTGAAGAGACAATGTGCATTCCTTGAAATAAGACTCTACCGTTGTGCAGTGCTCCAATAACTGGACAACAAGTCTGATATGTTTGTATTGTATTGACCTTTGACCTCTGCAGCTCATGTTGACTGTTAAGGCAATATTATATCTGCATTTGATAAAGATGACAAATGCACACTGGTATGTCTTTTTCTTTTGTGTGAGCCTTAATGCTCAAAATTTCTGATTATTGTTTTTCTAATTGTTTGTAATTACTGCACTGTATGTTTGTTTACACACCAAAATTTTCAATCTTTTGCTTTCATTTTTATTATTTATTGTTTCCCTAATGGTTTCCAATGCTGTTTTAATGAATGTATTTGATCAGTCGTTGTTTTAAAGGTTAATATGCAAAAATAAAGTCGTTTAGCCTGGTGTGTTCAGAGTGCCTTAGCGTCGTTCTTCCCCTCTCTCAGGCCACTTACCCCACCTCTGTCCTCTGGCCGGCTGCAGGACTCTGCGGCCAGCAGCCAGTACTCTGTCCCGCAGGACAGCAGCATGAACAGGAATCCCACTGCTCCGAAGAACAGAGCCAGGAAGAGGAGCAGCTTCATCCTCTCAGCGGGAGACATGTCTCAAGTCTGTTGGCTTTTTCTATCCACTTTTCTGTTTCAGCATTTGTTTCTATAGTAAAAGTCTGTTTTTCCTCTTTCTTCATTCATTTCCCGCTGCCCGTCTTTGCTTCCAACTGCATTTCCATATTGAAATACACTGTAAAAAAATCCTGATTTACTATATCCATGTGTCCATTACTCTTCTGCTGCGAGAAATAAGTTACCATCATGACAAACACAATCCTCTGGACAGTGTTTCCCTTGCCGTACTGACCAATCGGGTGCATGAAGTAGTCGAATGAAAATAAACACTTGCACCATGTGTTGGGTCAGTTGGAGGGGGATACAGTTACAGGGGGTTTTCACTCTCACAAAAATAGCTCTATGTTGAAAATAGATGCCCTATTTAACATAGAGGACATAGTATTCCCTGCAACCCAAAACATAACCATGTCATTCTTGAAAGAACAGAAATTACACCTGTAGAAATATCTCCTTGGCATTTATTGGAATGCCAGCAGTGAAATCCAGATTTGGTACAGTACAAGGCTATCCAGTATAACTGAGATCTAGGCAACAGTGATGGTCCAACAACAGTCATTCAAACTGCAAGTTCATATATTAATACCACTTTTTTTTTTCTTTTTTTTTTTTTTTCCTCTCCATGACAGGTTGTTCAAGAGATGATTAATACAAATAAAAAAGGTCAAAGGAAAGCGGTGACAATCAGTCAGAGTGCTGCAGGAGAAAAAGACGACAGGACGCGTCTCAGTCAAACCTGGAACAAATTATTTGAACAGATTCTTAAAAGAGGTTTTTTTCTTTTTGTTTTTTAATGACTGACTTATTTTCATCTAAATTCAAATAAACATTTCTTCCAGGTACTGAGGGACATTTAAAAAAAAAAAAAGAAAAAAAAAGACACCAACAAAGAAGAAAGAAAATCAGGAATGGTCAGTTTGTCTGCTGATTGTTTTTTTTTTTCTTACTGTAACAATGTGTTGCATTTTTGCACCAGTTTGATGACTCAGCGATCAAAAAGGTGTTTGATTCGATGACGTTGGTGGAGGTGATCTAGCTAAGCATGTCTTGCTTCTTGAGACAACTCCTTAAGTTTGCATTTAACATATAGCAAGAACCCAACCCTTATACACAGAGAAGTGCATTTTATACAGGACTCATGTTGATTAATTACATATTACAACCCTGTGAGGATAGAATAAGTACATATACGAGGCACACAGAAATTAAAGATTCATCACCTATTATTAACCTACTTGCAGTAAACATTTTTATTTGAGGATCCTTTGGGCTGAGTCACCTCTTTCCTCTAATTTGCGAGGATATTGCCACTCTTTTGGCAGTTTGTTTGGTCCACTGTCGCTCTATCCGAATGAACAGGTCTGTCGGAGCATCCGTGCAAAGGCTCATGGGACTTCCACAGCATGTGAGGTCTTGCGCCGCTTCCTTTTTTTCCGTTTTCCTCGAGGCCTCCGCCGAACGTGCCCCCGCGGCGCCTAAGACATGACTCCGAATACGGGGTTGTGGCGGCAGATGCTCGGGCCGATCTCCTCGTAGTCTCTCTTAGTGTGGCACACTTGGTAAAACTCAGGCTGCGAAATAAATGTGAGAGCAACAGAAGTTTACTAAAGTCTGGGGCCGCATGGAAAAACTTTTTTGCCGTTTGTTTCTGCTCAGTTTTGTTCAAGTAGAAACTCTCGGAGGTTTCTATATACAATTATTTGTTGATATCAAAAATAGATTTTAAAAAGCTGCAGGAGGAATGATTATGTGTTGTTAAAGGGGCTGAAAAACGCTGTTTTGATACTCACAGTAGACGCCAACATTGATCCTCCGAACCAGACGGCGTACCTCTGCATGTGGTGAGTGATGACTTGCACGTCAATGGGTTTGGGCTGCAAACACAGAGATTCATACTCAGTATTTTAAGACAATAAAAACGACTTCCTAGCTAGCTGCCTATTTTTTAATTACAGATCTGTGCAGTCAACATAACAATATGTGAAACAACAATGAAGCCTGTATAAGAGGCTTGTGTAACAACAATCAGACATACTTTTACTGCATTTCCCTCACCTTCAACTTGCCGCCGCTCAGCTCTTCGCTTATTTTCAGTCGTGCGTCCACAGTCCTCTTGAGGTCCCTCTGGAGGCGTCTGCCAAAGTCCCTGAACATGGTGGAGCCTCCGGAGAGCACAATGTTCTGTGACACAAGTACATGTTCAGAAAAAAAAAAACAACCTTTTGTGTATGTCATGTGAGCGTGAGTAGACGCGGAGGGGATCTGTGTACCTTGTACAGCGGACGCCGGACGTCGATGGGACAGTTCTGGATGACTTCATCCACCACCTCCGAGATCGGCTGGGTGAAATCTGGGTTGGCAAACTGGACGAGACAAAACATTCACATTTATACACTTGCAACTATTGACCGGTCACGTCTCTCCTTCAGGGATCGTCATCTGTCAGCAGCAGCAGCAGCAGTGTGAACTCAACAATCTCACTGACCTCAGGATGGAAAAAGATCTCGGGCCCGAGGAAGCGTTCGTAGCCAACATCGATGGTGAACTCCTTCTTGCTGATGGCGTTCACGCCTGTGTACTGTTTGATCCACTTGGAGCCGTCTGTGTCGTACTTGCTGAACTCCTTAACAAGGTCAGGGCAGACGTAGCTGAACCGCTCCTGGAGAAACCAAATAATATAGTGATACGCAGATATTATGAGCGATGGGAGACAGCTGTTTATTACATACTGTTTCATTTCACAAGTTTCTGTAGCTGCACTGGCCTCTTGTGGCCAGACTCAGAAATGCATGACAGGGGAGAACATCATTTTCCACTATCATCTGTTGAGGGTGTCGCTTCCTTTTATGGCTCCTTCTTTTTGCAGATTTCAATACAGAAACAGAGCATGACTCAAAATGCAAGAGCACAACATCCCCCTTAAGTGACCGTGCTGATGCTGTGTGGACTGGAGCGCTTCTGCTTCATGCATCAAAACCCATTTTTAACACCAACAGTTACCACATATGAAATATTTCTGTGAGTTTTATGAACTTCTGGTACAGACCTTTCTGCAATTTTTCAAATCTACAAGGTACTGAGTGTTTCGTTTTTTTTGGGTGGAGCATCACATACTGGCAGCGTTTGAGGCCAATGCAGGAATGAATACTGACCTTGACAGCTTTAGCCGTCTCCAGAGACTGTTCCGGAGGTATCCCCACCTCTCGCTCCCTCAGCAGCTGTTGGATGAAGTACGTGATGTCTCGACCAGCGATGGGGATGTGCTTAATGCAGCTACCGATGACGTAGCCTTCGGCCTGGAACACAAGCGCGCACAAGTTTAGGGTGGAGAATGAGGAAGGAGCAAAAAAAAAAAAAAAGGAATAAGAAAAGAAAGTGACACCTACCACTGGGATAACGTGTGTGACTCCGTCTCCGCTGTCGATCACAGTCCCCGTCAGCGTCCGCTCTCCAACCTGTCTGGATGTCCAGGAGGCAGCCAGCGCCAGGACAGCCTGATGCAGAAAATATAAACTTTAATTTAAAAAAAATAAAGCTGTGATAAAAAGCAAGGAGAGACAATCAGAACGGTAGTATAGATTCATTTAACAAACTGCCTCTATTAACAGTGTGGTACGGTTTCATACAGGATTCATGCTGTAGATTTCAGAACCACAGAGTGACGACATCGTGCAGGATTTAAATCAAGAGGAAATAATCAAATAGACTGTGAAACTTAAAAAGAAGAAGTGAAAATAGACATTTCCCCATTAAAACATTTGTCTTTAAGAAGAAAGAGCCCACAGGTCTGGGTACAACTAGCTGTGAGTGCTGTAGTTGTAGGCATTTGTTCGAACCAGCCACAGTGATTAACTGATTCACATCTTAAAAAAAACAAAGCTTTTCAGCCAATGTGTTTGGTAAACGGATTACAGGTTTGCTGTTGGGCTCTCTGGCCTCTTTCTGGCGCTTCAATGTTTTTGGAAACGTACCTGAACAGCGATGTAGAGACCTGGGACGTTGAATGACTCAAACATGATCTCTGCTGTGTACTCTCTGTTTTCGGGTGTATTCAGTGGAGGCTCTGTCTGGAGAGGGAGGGAGAGAGAGAGAGAGAGAGAGAGAGAGAGAGAGAGAGAGAGAGAGAGAGAGAGAGACGCAGAGAAATGATGTAAAACGCTATTTGACATTTTATGATTTTGGAGAGCTTAAACACAAGACTTAACTTCAGTTACGCAACAGAGAACGAATGAACTTTGCCAGGATTAAAATGTCCAATACTCCCCCATAATCTCCATATCCTTACACATATGTGGCTCAAGATGAAGTGCCAGAACAGTCAGTATTAAATTATTACTGCTCCTAACTGTTGACAGAGGGGAAACAGACTGCACTGTGTCTGCGCAAAGGCTAATTTCATATGGCTAGAAGAGGAGGGCTAATTCAGAGAAGAGCAGTTTCTCTTTACACATCTTCTGACACATTAAAGCCCTTGTCTCTTGTCTTGATTCCATCCTTTTTTTTTTGGTGCTGCCTTGATCCCAAACCATAGCAGCTTCCAAATGTTTTCAGTAGGCACAGCCTCCTGGTCTTGGTCCTGGTCTTACCAAAAGAAAGTAATGGTCTTCAGGTTCTGCCCGCAGATACTTGAAGATGACCTGCTCCATAAATCTCTCCATCAGGTCCCAGTCCTCCACTATCCCGTGACGAATGGGCCACTGGGAAGGAGAAAGGACAGAAATCGGTGTAAACAGTGACTGCAACACACAGGGGGGGAAAAAAAACACACATCTGACTCAATTCATCTCTTCTCTGTCCACCTTTGTTGCATATGATGGTTTGTCGATGGCTTCATCTCCGATAAAGAAGTCCAGGTCGTCAACACCCTTCATCATCCGGCGCTGGGCCTGGTCTCCGACCTTGGCTGATTCTTTGATTGCGATACCTGAAGATGATAAAAAATATATATATACATGAGTGTTTAACTGAGACAAAACCAAGATCACAAATGCCTTTTATACAGTAAAGTCAACTAATATAACAGTACTATCCTGAGGTAGGGTTAGGCAACATGCAACACAGAAAGAGCATCATTATCATATTAACGGGAAGACCTTCTACTAACATTAAACTAAGTTCAAGTACAAGGTTGGTATTATTCTATATCTCTCTTATTCTCAACAGATTCTCAAGAGAAGACCAAAACCAACGATGCATTTGTTCATCTCTCAGCACTTTCTCACTTCCCTATCCTGTCTGTGACATGCCAGCCATAACCCACTGGCTCCTTTTCAGGTTACAAATGTATGATTCATTTTGTTAAAGCTAAATATTTTTCCTAAAACTGATGGACACTGTAATAAGTTTCTGTTGATCACTTAATCAACTAATTGTTGCAGCTCTACTTTGTTGTGTAAATTTAGAAATAAATATCAATGTTAAAACAGAGCCAGAACAGTATAAATAACTGTATTACACATTTGTATACTTACGATAAAATTAAGTTGCAGTTATAATAACGATAATTCCATGAAACCAAATTCTTGTTTTGGTGATTTTAATAATTTACTTACATGAAGGTATGATGAACTGTGGTTCTGTGTTTCCTGCATAACCAAGCTTTGTGTACCTAAAGAAAAGGAACAAAATGAGCATACATGTTTATTTACAGTTCTTTCCCTTTGGTTAAAGTGTTTACTAGGAATTGTAGACAAGGAACAGTCAAAATAATCTGGATGATCCGCTTTCTAATATGAGGATTATCCAGGAAGTAACATTAGCTTCAGTAGCTAACAGTAGCTAAGTGCAATGATTAAGCAGTACTGGGAATAAAAGCACAGCAAATAAAGCAGTCGGGCACTTTGGCGTGCTCATTTGTAGCATTAACTCTGTGTTTACGGACACAATAAGAATAGAGAAGTGAGCAGATGCAGCTAAGTAACGTTAGCAGGTTTTAGACTGAACAGCTAAACAACACAGGGCGTTAGCTGAAGTTTGACAGCCGCTTATGTGGTCAATGAAAGCCAGGCTAACGCTAACTAGCATTTCATTTTTCTCACTTACCCTGTGCCACAGTCAACAACACAAGCCGGCAGCCGACCAGCCATGCTTGCTCTCCTTTAATCTACTCGCAGGTAAATATATCAGGCGCTCGATATGAACGGATATCTCAACAGTAACCGGTTTAAATCGCAGCAGCCTGAATGAATAGCACTCACGGCCGATACGGGAACGCTTCCGGGTTCGGTGAGATTTCTTCTAGTGCAGCGTCAGCATCTTCCATGTCACAACACTGCCCCTAAGTGGATGGAGACAGTTACTGCAGCCGAGGAAAAAATTCAATTGTAATATTCAGATTAAAATTTACAAAGACTATATGTACTTATATAATGATAAAGGCTACAGTTTAAATATAAATAGATAAATCATAATAATAATAAATAAATATATACTTAATTTCTGATATGTTTTTCTGGTTCAAAGATTTAAAAAAAAATATAAAACAAATTTGAGTTGTGTTTCAGGAATATTTTATTTGCCACTTTCTCAAACAACATCTGCAGTGAAATGCAGGTTGACATATTCTTAAGTGCAACACATACTAGTCATTCAATTAAGAGTTAAAGTAAGAATAAGAATAATAAGGGTAAAATGTTGCTAGCAGCTCTGTAATTTTTTCTTTTTATAGTGGTTTTCCATTGAACAAAAATAGCAACCAACCTCATCTCACCCTGCTGACTCCACCAGATGATATCAGTGATTTAGGTGCCATCAGAGGCCAGACAAAGTGGTCCTCACCCTCCACGACTGCATGGAGGGCCACTGATAAAAACGATATATGAGCAGGAAGGAGCTTTAGGGCCTGAATCTGGCCCCATAGTGCCTTAGCACATTAGAGCCAATCCTAGAGCCTGAGAACATTGGCCCTTTGTCCTCGGGCAGACTCATCACTCACACAACAGTCACTTCACCACACCGAGTCTCCTCGAAAAGCCCTTGGCTCTGCTGCTCCTGATAGAAACAGCCCTAGTCTCCCTCTCTGGCCCAGGCCACTTGATGGAAACTCTATCGAGAGCTGTAGGTGAAACAATTTGTTTCAGCATTGTCAGAGCCGAAGCAAAGATTCACCAGGAGCCCGCTATCAGAGGACTTTCCTTTTATATCACAGAGACAAATGACACAAAACACAAGTGGTGTCTTTTGTCCTGTCTTTTTAGTACAACTGAACATCATCGTTGTCTCATAATGATACTAAACACATAGTATCATTGGTCCTAATAGATAAACAAATTACTGAAAAGAAAACGTGATGAATTCTCAGTCTGACGTCAGCCTTGGATTTTAATACATTTCTAATTCATTTATTTCATCTAACAGAATGAAATAATATAAGACAACATTAAACAGTGTGTGAAAGTGCTTAATCTGCCTCTGAAGGTGTTTCACATGGATCGAATGCTTTTGGAAACCTTGAACTTTAACCCTGACGGTATTTTAACTTCACAAAAAAATCTGTTTCTCTGCAAGTGCTTGATATTCCTGTGCATCACTGCTTTGAATACTAGAGGGCACCATTGCTCTTGTTTTTGAGCCTTACACAAATCATCACGAGCCAGTGTTTCACTCACTGTTGTACACAAAACACAATCATGTGTTTCTTGCAGTTCAACCTCACCTCCTCTGGGTTTAATCTTTGTGATCCCTCTATAAAACATCCTTCTTGGAATGGAATAATCAGCGTAAAACAAGGGATTTTTTTTTTACAACCGTGATTCAAGCCACTTTATTTTGCAGGGTCCTTGCTGAGGTGCGATGCATTTAACACTATAGTCTGATGCTTGTTAACTTCCCCACAGCTGCAGATTAATATCCTCTCTGCACCGCTGTAACTTTTGTGTTTACTTTTCTTTATGGGCCCTACTTAGTGAAATGAAGATTTGTGATACTGCACTTAAGCGGATCGGAAGTGAAAATAAAGTCTGGTGAAGGATCAGCTTATATCAAGTTGACTGCTGAACCAATCAGATTTAGGATAATTGTGCTTTCCTCAGGCTTGATCCTATTCATACCCAATGTAATACGTTTAATGGAATTTAATAGAGTTTCATTTTCATTTATCTATTTAATCAATAACAAAACTGGGCGTATTGATGGGTTAATACATTTGGTTCATGAATAATAATTAGAAAAAAAAAATGAGATTAGATCCATTTAAGAGGGATGGGTCTGATTCACTTTAACTTTACACAATGTGCAGTATCTATACAGCCGGTCTGAAGGGAGCAGGCCCTGTGGAGGCTTGTGATCTCCTCTGTCCTCTGTTAGTCCTGTACCTGACACAATTCACCTCCCACAGCAGAATAGATAATTTCCCCCTCATTTCCGATACACTTTGCCGACACAGTAAACAAAGTAGATGAGTTGAGGTCCCTCATCAACTGAAGTATTTCCACTGCCAGAGCCCTGATATGAGTGCGTTTGCATGCGCGTCATTAGAGCGAGGCAGAGGTGGGCCTTATTATTTTTAATAATCTCCTGTTTTTGCTGCTTCTTAACCCCAGGAGATCTTCATTCAGCACTTCCCCTCTCAGTCCTGACTCCTTCCACCACCACCTCCACCACCTCCATCTCTGTGTTGAGTCCCATTAATGATGCTCTGTCATGCAGGCTCACCCTCACACTGCAGGATGCTTTTGCTGCTGATATACCGCAGAGTTTAAACTATACGTAATTGAGATACAACCGGCTCTTAACATCATTTTAACAACACCAAAGTCATCAGATATCACCGTGTTAATGATTTATCTGTTGCACAAAGACTGTAAATGTCACTGCTGACTGCAAGTTTCATCCGGTGGGAGCTGCTCTATTGTGTCTCTAACAATGCACCGCTGCATTGCTAGGCAAATAATTGAAAATGGTTATTTGGAAACACTATTGTGGCACTTACAAGTCAATCATCTGCAGCCGGTGACACTCACCGTAGACACAACTGGACTTTTAAATTCCGCTTCTCTCTTTAAGATCGTTAGGAATAATCACACGTGCAATACTAGCTCACCAGATAAGCAGCTAACAGGGTATTTTACATGCTGTGTATGTGTGTTTTTGCTGGGCCCAGCAGCTATTGTAAGATGGGTGTAATACAGAATGGATTATGTCTAATCTGAACTCTCTGCTCATTCTGACAAAACCTTAATCTCCTGTTTCATATAAGGCTTTTATCAGGTTTCAGTGCAGCCTGGCGGTGACAGCATTTCAGCAACTTAAAATGCACACAGCATGCACCTGCACAGCGAGACCTTCGAGTCAATAATGCATACATCATAGCACACGGAAAGCTAAAAGTTGGGGAAATAAACACAGCAAATGTATGTGCATACTCACTTTCAAAACCACAGAGGAGGCACAATGCACAAAATAATCAATAGATGAATAATTGAGTGATGGTAGCGTTGCTAAAGTGTGGCTAATTCAATAAAACTCCCCGTTCCACGCCGTCCTCAGCGCGGCTGTGTGAAGGTTAAAGACATGGAGAAAGCATTTAGGCCCAAATAACCTCTCAGAGACCACCAGCGGTGGAGGATTTCATTTCCCAGAGAGTCATATAAAGTTGCCCCTCCCACCCCACCCCTTCAAAGCCCCCCAAAACTCACGTATTAATGCTGAGGTGAGGTGAATTCTAATGCTAAGCTGTATGTGGCTTTACTTGCTTGGTTTTATCTTGAAGAAAAAGGTGTAGACATTGCAATATCCCATGTTTGGTCAACTCAATCAGGGAGGGCCCCATTGCTGCAAGTAAAATTAAATCAAATACTGTTCCTGTGCTAGAACTCTGTCTCCTCCCAAATTACAGCTTCCTTTCAAATCAACTTTCCTGGACATAATTAGAAAATTACAGAGCTGTAAAACACAACAAATCTCGTTACTGACTGAAAACATGACGGGTCCATTTTTCTGCGACATTTATTTACATCACATATCAGCAGATTACAGCGTCACTCTTCACAGAAGACCGGTCAAAAACACCGCCATGAACGTTAATCAGATGGTCCATCTCTGTCCGTCTTCGCTTCCAGAATTTCCCTTCAATAAGTTTCTTGAATCTCGGTCAGTATATTCTTTTTGATATGAAAACAACATCATGATAATGTGAAGTCAATAATCTGAGTGAAAACATCAGGACAGGGCCTTGGGTGCGATTTTCTGCTTGATCTGCTCTTGACCTTTTAATCAGACCTTCATTTGTGGCATTGAAATACCATGAGAGAATGTGGCTGTTGTCACTACGTATAAATATAATACTGTACAGACTGAAAAACAATAACGGAAGCAGTAAAATAAAACTTCATGATACAAATAAATAGGCAAATAAATAATTTAGCGGGATATATAAAGGCATAAATTTCCTAATGCCCACCTGAACATGGAAATACGATCCATAAGTGAAATTAGTTTTCAGTGGCGTAGATTATAAATACAGTATTTGGTCTAAAGCAGTGGCTACATGCATCAATTTCTTTGATTTGGGCATATATTTAACTGTCTTAAGTTATATAAAGTTAAAGGGAAATATGGCTGAAATCACCCTGAAGAGAATTTAATTGTGCTTATAGCTTGTTCTTATACTGAACTATATTAAACTTTATAATTCACTGTAGCAGGTGTTTCCGTGTAAGACAGTTCAATAGCTCATTTCACAAAGTACTATAAGGAATATTAATGTCTCTTTAATATTTCTACAGAGCCTCTTAATGTGGCCGAATTAACTCAACCAGTTTTATGAACAAGGGCGAATAAGCAAAAACACAGAAACCATTTAAGCATCCTTCATATTCACTGTAGCAAAGTGTCAATCAATACTGTACGGCAGTGGGAAATATGCATATATATATATGGCAGGATGGTGTGCTGCAAGAGATCTCAAAGTGCCGTCCTCATCATAACATACGAAGAAGAAGAAGAGGAAGAAGAAGAAGAAGGTAAGTACAGTTGGGGTTCCTAGGGTCAATTGTGTTGTAATCAAATTGAAATAAGAAAAATCTGAGCAATAACAGCAAGCATCACCAAGAAATAAAACCAACAGTGCTGTATCAAACCATAGATCAAATAACGCCCACGAAACAAAAGCTTCAAAATATTATTTTCTACATTGAGCTCTACCTGCGTCCTTTTACAGCATGTAATAACCAGAAAATAACTTCAGAGCAGCTTCTTCACAAAACGCTCCACTTCACAAAAAGCAAAGAAATTGAGAGATGCCTCGCGGCAGACTGGATGGTCCTCTCTCTGACAACAGGGGCGATACATTCAGATGGCTCGGTGTGTCTCCAGTCTCCGGTTCAGCAGTGTCATTCTCAGCGGTTACGGTGTTACATCGATCTGATTCACTGTTTCTCGTGATGCTGGGAAAGATACAAAGCCAGTGTGGTGTCCGAGTCCGCTCCTTCAGTGTATCGCAGTCAAGTGAGTGCAGGTCCAGGCTCCAGGGTGAACCTATGACAACAACAACAGCAAAAAAAAAAGGACAGGTTATGTGTTCACTCAGTCTTTAAAAGGCTATAATGCTAACCCACCAGATTTGGAGGTTGATGGACCTGCTTTTGTGCATGTGCGTCATGTTGAAACAGTAAAGGGCCTCAAAACTGTTGCAGCAGTGTTGCAAGGAGAACCTAACATGATTTGACCTTAACCCTGCAGGATGACAGGTTGCTAAAACTTTGTCTTTTGATTTCAGTTCACAAGACTCTAATTTAGTTCTGACTGAAAACCCTGATGAACCGAAAATCAAAAAGCTAACAAAGTGAGGTTTTCTTTTCTTTTCTATGGTTTGGACTAAAGATGAATAAAACTGTACAGCAGAATCACGGCGGGGACCGTCTACGTCAGCGGGAGGAGTGTCGGCGGCAGCAGGAGAAAGGTCAGGAGGAAACGAAGAGGCCCGTCGGTCTGCAGGTTTGCCGTCGCCGCCGAGGGGACGGGCCGCTTCCTCTTGGGCCCGTTGCACAGCGGGGTGTTGCAGCAGGAGATGCAGACCGAGTTCAGCCTCCCGGTGCAGAACTGCTGGTAGCCAGAGGAGGCGATGAGGCAAGCCCCGGAGGAGGCACAGGACTTTCGATAATGTATTCCTGCAAAAAGGAAGAACTGTCATGTTGCAAAATATAACATCAGACCGAGAGAGGCCGTGATTCATTCTTCCCCGCTGTAATTAGATTGCTTAGATTGAAGATGTAACGTATAAGAGAGCAGTGTTTTGGGATGCTGCAGCATTTTATTGCTCTTTCGGGTTACAGAGCGATTGACTTTCTGTCTTCTCTTATTAACTGATGCTTGTCAGTGTGCTGTATGTTACTACAATTTGTATGCTTGTATGAAGAAAAACAAACTCATATTCTGTAGTGCTGCAACTTTTTTCTTTATTGCACTCCAGAGCCGTAGACTCTCTTATCGAGCGTTTTTTGTTGTGTGCTTCTTTGGTATGTTATAACAGAAGTTTTATCATTTTTGTAGCAGTGCTGTTGTGGTGTTTATCTTGTGTTTTCCTTTTGTCTGCAAACTAAATGTCCTCTTACTGGAAAAGAAAAAAGGTTCTGATGAAATCTAATTCAGATAAATTCAATCTCTGCGGGGCAGAATGTTCCATTATGTGGAAATGCTTTTATTTGACAAAGGAGGAGAAATCCATACAACTGAATATTTTCCTCTATGATAGTCTTTGTGTTTGTGTTATAGAAGCGTACAGAAAAGCATCAGCGCTCTGCTACCCTGTCAAGGCAAGGCATAAAACCTTAAGTGCAGCAGATTCAATGTCAGAACATCATCACAACGCTAGTGTCACAGGCATCCTATTACAAAATCGCGTGTCCGAGCATCAGGCCACATGTTTCATTCATATATAAAGTGGTCACCTTGACAAACTGGCTACTGGTGTTTTTTTGTTTTTTGTAAAAAAAAAAGAAAAAAAAAGACAGTTTCCTCTAAACTCTAAAGGAAACAGTCGATTCGACGCCCTACAGACTGCACCATTTTATTTCCTGTAACACAGAGCAAGACTAATCTAATGTCGTGTCAGTGGCAGCTGAAGGAAATCTCCTCCTTGAATAATGAGCTGAAGGAAGTGGTTCAGTGAGATGGTGTATTTTCTTTTGGAACAACGTCAACGCGACACCAAATTGCCTCATATGAAAATGAGCAGGAACATAAAAACAATCGATGGATTTACATTTGTCCGTGGAGGTTTATAATGTGTAGCCTATGTTTTGCACAGGGGGGGGGTAGGGGTGGGGGTGGGGGGGGGCGTTATACAGTGCAGGATGCTTTGTGGAGTCTATCCACACAACAATCGATGCCTCTCTCTCTGTCTTTGAAGCTGGGCANATCTCCTCCTTGAATAATGAGCTGAAGGAAGTGGTTCAGTGAGATGGTGTATTTTCTTTTGGAACAACGTCAACGCGACACCAAATTGCCTCATATGAAAATGAGCAGGAACATAAAAACAATCGATGGATTTACATTTGTCCGTGGAGGTTTATAATGTGTAGCCTATGTTTTGCACAGGGGGGGGGGTAGGGGGGGGGGTGGGGGGGTGCGTTATACAGTGCAGGATGCTTTGTGGAGTCTATCCACACAACAATCGATGCCTCTCTCTCTGTCTTTGAAGCTGGGCAAAGGAACAAAAATAACAGATAACGACGTCTGTTACGCTGAAAATCACAGGAGATTGTTTTGACCTAGTCAGTCTTTTCTGCTGGGTTAGTAAGTTAGACATACAGTATGAGGAGGGAGACAAAAAAAGGGATAGTTTGGTTTCCTTGGTGAGGAGTGCAGGTGCAAACATCACCATCATTGTAGTTTGTAGACTGTGCTTGCATGACTTGACAATAAATGTCACTTAGTAGCTAAAAATCTTTTTAAAAGTGAGATATTTTGCTGTTTTCCAGACATTGTTGTTTACGACTGCGTCTCAGCTCATCCCAGTTGAGACATCAGTATTCAATATTAATTGTCTGTCCATTTATCGGGAAAATTGCGGATGCTTAGTGGACTTAATAATGTTGAACACCCCTCATCTAAATGTTAAAGATATAAAACCTAATGCTCGGAGGTCAGCTGCCTTTGAGTGCTGTGTTCGGCTCCCTCTGCAATTCCCAGGCGGTCACTTTTCGTCCACAGACAAATAAGAACACTAGCTTTCTACTTGGATACCTTCGGCTGGCCTAGCCTGTGGACTCGCAGCCTCAACTATCAATCTTCGCTGAGTCTGTCCTGGATCCCATCAAAGAATATGAAAACCTTGAAAGAATATACTCCCACTAAGGATGCATAATCCTCCAAATCTGTATTTTTAATGATAGAGAATGAAGAAAGATGGAAAGATCCATATCAGCTCTAAAATACATTCGGCACGATTGACAATCATGGGATGCACTGTATGTGTCAGATTTATGTGTGTACATGATCTTTTTGTCATGCTTTTACTTTACTAATCATGTCCTTCCTGTTTCGTTTTGCAATGGAAAACGATGGGAAAGCGTAAAAACACTTGCACTCGGCATAAAGATATATTGGAATCTGTTTTAGAGCCATCAAACAGACAAACAAACACACCGGGCTGTGTGCTTCACATTCTAGCAGCAGAAAGTATTATTTAAAATAAACTTCAGTAAAACAAGGGGTTTAGCATGAACAGTAATAGCTGCCATGGCTCAAAAGTCAAATAAAGGAAAGCCACTTACAAAATATCACCCTTCAATGAAAAACCCAAGGACAAACAGAGGTGCAGCAACCTTCTCTCCCTGCGTGCCGACCTTCACACCAGACCAACCCTGCAGCATTTACGCTTTAAACAAGAAGATTCACATTATACAGCACACTGTCACTTACCATCAGGTTTGACCAGCACCTCCTTCTGGCACATGTCCTGCACGTTGACGGTGCAGTTGACGATGTACTCTGGCGTGGAGCAGTCATTGTGCTTCATCTCCTCACACTGGTAACACTGGATCTGAAGGGCATCTCCTGCACCACGGAGGAGGAACACAATGGCAAAATATACGCTCACTGCTGTTTTTTATAGTGTTTTCCCTATGGAATTGTTTTGATAGACAGATAATCAAATAACAGTTAAAGCACAAGTCAAAATGGGTAGATACTCTGGATAAAACCCATCCAAGCAATGATGTCTAAAATACACTTCATCGGTGAGGCTTCAGGAGACACGACAATGAGTCCTGATGACACAAGGACTGGATCCAGGATTGAGCCTTGTGGTACACCACAGTTGATCTTATATTTCTTAGAGGAGGGTTCATCGAGGGCAAAAAAAACAAAATCAAAAAACATCTCTACCTGTGAGGTAAGATGTAAACCACTGAAGAACAGTGCCAGAGAGGCCCACATATTTATATAGTCTGTCTATGAGAATATTGTGTTCGTCAAAATGCAGTTTGAGGTAAGAAAATCATTCCACTGCTTAAAAACTAACTTCTCTAAACAATGGCCTTCAACCAGGGCAAAAGACTCCAGAGCTACCTCACTAAAACCTACACCTTTGAGATGAGGGTGTTATTTTTATATTAATATTAAAACGCATTCAACATTCTTGCTTTCCTCTGCACTAGATCTGCAACATCTATTTCCTGTATTCTCCCTGCTGTCCTTTCATGACATCATTCTTCTTTGGGAACATATCGAGTGTATTAACAACAGCTGGTCACATTATTCTTACTCGACATATTTTTCTGAACATTTCTTATCTTCTCTGTGTTTTCTTCGAGTTGAGCAGCAGCCGCTTTTATAGATTCTTCTGTTGTCTGAGTGCCTTTGATGGTGTTTCAGCCTCAAACAAGGCTAATGGCGCTACACGAGAGTGCAGTTTCACCTTCTCTTTCCTCTGTACATTGATGTGAAATCACTAGCAGAAGGGCATATGAGCAAGTCTTTATCCAAGTCTGAGTTTTGGTGTTTCTCAGCTCTTTTATTGTCTGTGTTGTGAGTGTCAACAGAGAGGTTATAGATCAACACCATGAGGTGAGAATAAGCTGTAAAACACACATCATGGAAGCACAGAGTGGTCTCTTTAGACTCCCCTTTAACCCATGTATTTATATAGGTGATAAAGCTCCATTTCCAATGCAAACAGGCAGACGAGAGACTTGATGTTCTCTGTCAGTGCAGAGGTACTTTGCGTGTATCCTCATCTCCTAAAGTGGTAAAAAATGTGAGTGCCTCACTGCAACAATGTCTTCTCATAAAGATAAAGTACAGCGCTTCTTGCAGCTTTTGTAAATTTCGTCTGAAGCTTTTAAAGCTGCAGAGAAGAGCTTTTCTTATTACCTAAAGCCTCATGGCGATTCTGAGTATCTATTGTGCACGTGCCCTGACGAAGGAGCAAGACATCTGCAGAAATCAGGATACGACATCTAGACTGGAAAACGTGCAAAAGAGTCAGTGTTATGCTGTCGCTGTTGGTTAATATTGACATTTTAGTGCCATTCGTGTGACTGTTACAGCTGGGGAAATGGAAATCAAATGGTTTATAGCCTTGGGAAGAATTTCTGCAGATCATTTTTTTTGCTGTGAAAAACCCAAATGATGTATTTCCACTGGGTGCACATTGGTAAAGGTGAAGTCTGTCCATTTTTATTGAACCTCTGAATGATTCTTTGCAGGAAGCTGAGGGAAAATGAAAATCTCAACACTATATTAGCTCACAACAGTTTTTTTTTAATTACATATGTCAGTGTTGAATTCTACCTGTCAGGTTCACTTAATTTTTTAATAAGATATCTAGCATCGCATTCAGAGGACATTCCTGCCCTTTCTCTCTCTAGTATCCCACACAGGCTATTCATCCCCACTGGCAGATATTACTGGCGTAATTATTGAAATGGCACCAATCATTAATCTCAACTCCAACAGCGCCATCACACACAACTGATAAAGGTCCACATATAACATCACAACCCCAGCTTAATTACTTTAAACCAAGCAAATGGCTGAAACTTCCATCCATCATCCGGAGGGAGACTCATGAAACCAAGGAACTCATTTTTGGGAATATCTGTCATGCTGGAGGGAAAAACCCAGCGCCTGAGCTCAGCTTATCACTTTTAGAAAATTGCTCTAAATCTATTTCTTGGTTCCATGACAGAAAACAGGAGCTGATAGGAAAAATAAACTGAATCATTTGCCACATTTTGCACCCAGGTGCAGAACAATTGCAAAAGCAATATCTACTGATCACAGTCCCGTTGACTATAATCACTATAGGGACCACAAAAGAAAATAATAGTGAAAAGAAAATCAGACACAGGTGCAGGAGCAGCTCTGGAAACACAATCCCATTTCTTAACATGAGCGCCAGCCACTTCAGACAGAGCGGAGAGCATCACGAATAAAGATCCCTCATTCAAAGTCAGCACATGCACCTGAGAAATAGACAGAAAAAAGCTCATGGGCAGCTGATAAATACGAGTAGGCTATTAACACTTTAAGGGTGTCATACTGGCTTTGCATGTTATCTCCCTCTGTGCCAAAGCAGCGCAGAGGACTCCGGCACGCTGCTCCCTTTCAGTGCGTAAAAACGCGTAAAATCACCAAAAACGCAACACGATTGCCAATCGCTGCCTGTTCTTTTCTCCGTATTCCTTAAGTTTCCCCAAGTGTATAGCTGCGTAAAACCAAACAGTAAATGTCTGCTTTGTGTTCAGATCTGTACATCTGATCTCAGGCACAGACATGCAGAGAAAACAGGCAATAGTTCTGTTTTCTAAATGTGAAGGCATCAAAATAAATTTGTAAACACTTTGGAACAGTGTATTTAAACTGGTATCGTTTATTATATTTGTTCCATCGATGCAGTACAGGAACATAATCAAAACCATATTTGCGCATTGGCATTTCAGCTCTGTTGCGCACGAATGTGAATAGAAAGGAGGTATTTCTTCAGCACATAACGCAATATAAGCTTGTTTTTGTCTCATCCAGACTCCAGACTGTGCCATCACACACCGACTGACGCGGGGCTGCAGTCATCCTCCCCAACTTGCACCTACCTGCGTCGAGAAGGACTCCGAGTAAAGTCGCAAAAACCAGAAGACGCATTCTCTCCCAAATGACGCTCGGAAGGGAAACATCAGACCAAACGGGCTCGTTCAGACGCGGAGGCATGGAGGACGCACCGCCGCGGAGGAACCCCGGACACGGATCCGCTCATCCTCTCGGCTGCGCTGAGAGGAAAAAAAAAAAAAAAAAAAAAAAAAGAGAAGCTCCGTCAAGTGAGAGGGATGAGCTCCAGCGCAACTGGAGACGGAGCCTGAGCGCAGAAATCATACAGCGGACCACGTGACCGCGGGACCCACAGCAGTTTGTCTTCATGCACTGATGCCAAACAAATGATGATAATGTTCCTGTGGAGGCTTTTAGCACTTCATGTAATGGGTTTATGGCTATTTCTGGACTCCTGTTGCTAATAACTGCACCAATAACATCTGTATGTAAAGGCTTGGGCGCATCTGTGACTGACCTTTACACTGTCATTAAAATCTTCCTAAAAGGATTAAAGTTTGTGGCAGCTACTTATGGTGACAGTGTGACCCGTTCATTAACTTTACATTGGTTGTCTTTGAGAATGTTTTAGATGTATTAGTTGTGTTTTTTTGGTGTTTCTGTCATATTAACTATGAAGTATTTACGTCATATTTTTGATGCTGTGTACTGAACAGCACATTTCATGATTCATTTATTTCTAAAGTATCGCTCCTGTACAGTGGTACTCACCACAGCCGTGACTGTTGTTTTATATTAACCTCTTCTGCCGCCTGTGTCTCTGTAACAGATGAATGGGAAGCTACACTGAGTCATTGTCTGTAATGTTTGACTTATTCAGCCCTACAGGCAGTTTTATTTTTTTGACCTAAACTCCTCCTCAGATCACAAACACAAACACAAACACACCACCAGAAGAATGTTGCCACTGAACCTTGGCTTCTACCATCTAACATCTGCTGCTGCTGTTTTTCAGTGTGTGGTGTGATCAATACAATATATTGAATGTATACGGAGTGATGCGGAGAGAGGTCGCCCGGGCGTGCATGAACTAATTGCGTTTATTTATAAGCACATAATTGCCCATCAAGGGAGTAATGGCTACTAATCCCTCAGCTGCAGCGAGCGGGCTGAGCGCTGTGGCTGTCGCCGGCTCTGAGCCTCGGTCCCCCCGCTGACAGACTGTGAGTGGGACGCGGTGATTACACGGGATGTCTTTTCTCCAAACCTTTATTTCCACATTCAGAGTGGGTGAATATATGAATGAATCACCTGAGTGACGCACGTTAATGCATGTATGCATGTCCTCCTTGTGTCACTCAAACACACGCACAAATAAAAACACACATACACACACACACACACGCGCCTTTCAGCTCAGGTTGAAATAGGAAATAGTTTCTCATATTTATTTAGGAAATAGTTACATAAAATATAGCATTAAAGTCTAGTGTAACAGACAAAATTGCACACAGTAATAATAATAATAATAATAATAATAATAATAATAACAATAATATTAATAATAATTACCAAAGTAACACTGCTGGTAACCATTTCTCTTTACAAAGGAACCAGGAACATTTAAGGAGAGAGGTGAAGCATGACAATCACACTACAGTCTGACAGTACAAAATGTGGGTATAAATACTGGACATCTAGAAAAATACACAAGTCCTCTTCAGACTCTCTTCATACAATATTAACAGTTTCATAGAAAAATTGAAACACAGTCGGCTCTGTTGATTAGCACCAGCTGGTCAAATTCCAGAGAGAAATTTGGCATAACATCAGCCTAAAGTTCAAATATGTCTTTAAAATAAAGTGATAAAATATTTTAGTATTAGCTCTTATTGATCAAAATAAAGACATTTTTTTTATTTTTAAAAAAAAAAAACAAGAACTCCTAATGAATTCCATTAACAAAAGACACATGCCATTTTCAAACAGCAGACTTAAAACCTTGGTTGAATGATTGGCAAACAATTTACATCTTTCTTTTTTTTTTTTTTTTTGTTTTATTTTTCCCGTTTGCATATATCAATCAGCAATGCCCATTCTGATATTAACTTATAGCAAATTTTATATACAACATAATATACAACTAGGAAAGGAAACTGAGGTTTGGAGAGTTCAGGTTTGCTGTGCTACATGAGAGGAGAAACTAGACTGTGTGGACCATGGAGTTTTGTATCAGGAACTTTAAAATAAAAGAAAAGAAAAAAGAAAAAGGAAAAGACTACTGAGTGTTATTTGTTTGCGTCAGCGTTTTCCTGATGGCTGTATTTGAAGTCGTACAATCTACATTAGTCCAGTATGTTCCCTGAGCTACCAACAATGACACTGCGTGCGTTCAAGCCAAAAGGTTGGTCGTTCTGCTGTACCTGCGCATCCGTCGCACACCGGAACAGCATTACATTAGTTCGTGTACCACGTAGAAACACACACACACACACACACGCTTTCAGCTGACATCGTGAGATAATCTACTGTTAGCTGAGCGGTGATCATTTTCACCACGAGATCGGCAGAAAATGATTTAAAATGAACTGAAACTGTTGTGATATCTTTTATAAAATTTTGCCCCGGCAGACAAAGATGAAACAGGTTTATTGTTATTATGGGGTGGGATAGGTAATTTTTTGGGGCAACTTCAATGGGCAATGTACTTAGCAGCAAAACATAAAATGACCCCTTGGCTTTTAATCTAGTTTCCTAGCCAACAAGAATGCAATCGAAGCATCTGTATACGCCCATATTGCCCATCGGTGCCGCCGCTAGAAGGACGCCCTGCTTTATCACTGCTAATAAATTCACTTTACACTCCTTACAAACTTTGTACAGTATTTGTTACAGTGCAATGATAAGAAGTTCCCCAGCATGGGAGAAGAAAAGACAAATCGCAATGAGACAACAGTGTGTATTGCTGTCCAGTCCACCGCACCCAGAGTCAAACTATTAAAAGTCCCGGTTTGATGTTTGGGTTGAGGTTTCGTCCTCGTCTCCAGCTCCACTAAGTGCTTTGTGTTGTGTGTAGGGAGGACAGGGCTCCTTGGCGTATGGGGCAGGGCTGTAGTCAAGAAGACGTTAGTCCAGTATGAGCTGCTTTCAAGACCGGACTGCATGGAAATCCACTCCACAGGCCTAGTGTGTCAGCATCCAACCAATCAACGCGTGGAATTAAGAGAAGAAGAACAGAACTCAAAAAAAGGCAGGAAAAGGTTACGGCCGAGGGCACGACAAGATGTCAGAGTGGCCGTAAAAAAAAAACAAAAAACAGAACTCAAGACACGGACTGGTTTCCTTCACTGCAGCCCCGCTCCCCCCGTCTCTCTGCCCCTACACGTCATTGGAGCCCTGACTGGTGCAGGAGGAGAAGCTGTCGTACAGCGAGTCGCTCAGGGAGCCCACCGGATCCGCCCCGGGCTTGCTGGAGAAGCTGGAGGAGGGGGGCTCGTCCACCTTGCAGCAGTCCTCCGCGCTCTTCCCGTCGGCGTGGCCATCACCTCGGCGGCCCATGTCCGGGTAGAGGCCGCCGCCGCAGCCGCCGCCGCCGCTGCTGCTGGAGCTGCTGTGATTCAGCTTGTTCAGGGACTCTAAGGAGAAGTCGAGGGAGCCCGGCTGGTTTGAGCTGACGGGTGTTTTCTCCTGGGGCATCTCCTTCTGCAAAGGAAAAAAAAAAAAGCAACATAGATCAATAAAGAGCACAGAACGTAAATTCAACACGATTTGCTGCATCTTGATGAATGTTAAACGCCGCACTGTAAACACAGCATTTCCCCTTTCTCCGCTCTTCTGCGTTGCTTTGACAGATACACAATAAACGCCAAGCAGAGGAGTGAGTCTGACATTGCTCCATGTAACTCATCTGGTCTGCAGTGTTGAGCTGCGAAGCGATGAGACTGACACCGCTTCAGAACATGACACTGATCTATATTGAGATTTTTATCACGCTCAAGGACCGAATGTTTGTCTTGGGTGTTGGTAGATGTGCATCTCTGGGCACCTGGGCCCACCCACGCTCCCTGTTATATTAACTGCATTGCATGATGCCATTCTTTCTTTTGTACAGAATGTGACAGTCTGCTTTACAGATTAGCATAATCAGGAAGGTGTTACTCGAGGGGAAAGCTGCTGTCTGTTAACGCTGCTTCAACTAACAGGGGACGCTGCAGCCTGAACGCACCGACTGCTAGACTGATGACATGTGCTCGGGAGTGGCGGCTGTTTAGAAGGTATTAAAATTGAAAAATGACATCACTGTAGGTCTTATTGTTGGTTCTTTCAACGGCTCCCTGACCTGGTTAACATTCATTTTCACGCCACTGCTGATGAAACAATACCACACACGAACCCTTAAAAATAGTGGCTTGTTGTTCGTGGTGCACCAGCTCTCTGAGTATTCTACATGATTTCTACTGTATGCCTTAAAAGGGCACTTCAGGGAGCTTGTTACTGTGGTTCAAGTACTGTGATCAGCATCAGCACCTCTCCTCAGAGGCTGTAAACAGCAATTCGAAGGCTTGGAGCAGAGCAGCTATCTGCACAGGTATTTTTTGCAGGGGTAAGTACACAGAGGAATAGCTGGAGGGTTCAAGGAACCTCAAGGGACGTTCAAAATCTGGACCATTTAGTGTTTTGCTGCGGGGTGTATCTCCCCTCAGACCTAAGCTACTCCATACGAGAAGCATGAACACATCAACATGACTGCATCGGTAATACAGATCTGAGCAGTAAAAACTTCTACATGTTGCTAATGGAAACCCCCCCACCCCCCCACCCCCAAGGCGTTCTTTGATGCTAAAAGTTGCCAAGTTTCTTAAGTCGCTGACCTCATGATCAAAATGCTAATATGCCAGAAGACCAAATGCAACATTCAGAAGGTAGGCTCTACAAGTTCGGGTCCATGCGAGCTTTATTCCTCCATCAGGACACTTGCTGTCATGGGCAGGAAATACTGTCTGCATAACGTCTCACTGCGAGGACCAGCGACAGATTTCTTGTGTCTTGTTTTGTAAGGCTCCCTTTAATTTGAAGAAATTGTATTCGCATCATTTCAACAACCTAAATGAGTTACTGTTGCGGCGTTGTGAATTATGTAGACGCAACTGCCTGCGATTGTGACTTTACAGTTTTTAACAGACTGCAAACACCTGTCTAGTTCT